TACTAAATAAATAAATACTAATAAATAAATATACTAAATATACTAAAATATACTAAATAACTATACTAATAAAATAATTACAAATAAGAATAAAATAAAATAATAAGAAATTATGAAAGTGAAGGAAACCCATGGTAACAACGACTTGAAACCTTCAAGTCAAATTGGTTCAGCTCCATCAATTCGTTCTGGTTCGGTTCAGTTTAGCTTGTACTTAACAACACTACTCTAGTGTCTAGGTTAAGATTTTCCTACTTAAAATAAAGGGTGTCCTTAAAATAGACTCCAGGTCTAGACTTTTATTCTAGACACCCTATATAAATAAATTTTTTAAAGTAACTAACATGTGATAAATACAATTGTGATATAGGTTAAGAGTGTAGACCCTGGGTTAAGATAAATTTAGGATATACAGATAAACTGTATGGTACGAAATGCTATTTTGTACTGTGACTTGTATGATTTATTTGTGGCTTGTACGGTTGATTAACTAATATCACGTGATATTTTCATTAATTTTAAATTTTACCTGGATGATATATAAATGTGACGAATAATATTTTAGATCCAAAAAAATTCTAAGTCCTAAAAAAATATAATAAAAATTGAATGTTGGGATGTGTTGGGGTGGTGATAATAAAATGTAACACCCCTAATTGATTTTCATGTGATACAAACCCTAACCCCTAAATTTGACATAAATAGATAATAATATATATTACAGGGGTTGGGTTTATATTTAGTACTGTTCGGCTTTTTAATATAAAAATACTTGTACTGTACGGTTTTTTAACATAAAAAGTTCATACAGTACAATTAGATTTTTATAATATATATATTATTGTACGAATTTTGTGCAAAATTTATATAAAATCGTACAGCGTTTCGTTCCGTACAGTTTATCGTCATACCTATAAATTTACCCAAAAATAAAATGATCATCCTTTACATAAAATCACATGCATAATTAATAAAAAACTTTAATATAAATATATATACATATATGTGTAAGTAAATTAATTCTGTACGGCCACAATCTGTATGAAAATTATTTCGTTGCTAAAAGATTTTTGAATAATAATAAGTACTAATATAAAAAAAAAAACAACTAAACTTAAAACGTAATATTAAAAAAAAAAAATTGATCTGATATCTGTTGATAAAATATTTTATCTCTTTCTAGATACACATTATTCGTATTTTATTTACAAATACATTTTAATTATTATTAACTAAAAATAATTTAAATAATTTGATTACATACAAATGCCCATTAAAAATTATCCCAAGAATAAATAAATAAAACAAAATAAAATTAATAATAGTAATAATAATAAGTAAATAAATATTATATAAAAAAAAATCATAATGGATTATTACTAGCTCGACTGAGCTGACTCGTTACTGATTGTCTATGTGTTGTTCCTCGCCATTCACGTTCCCAAGATAATCTCCAGGATAATGATCCAGTTATTATGAATAATAATGCATTCGCCCATCCACATGATAAACTTGAATAGTAAGCCTGACACTCTAAAACTTGATTACGATTATCTGATGAACAATTTAAAATTCCACGATTTGTTGGGGTAATATTTGTTATTCCTATTATTATTTATTGTTTTTTTTAAGATAATTAAATAATTTATCAATTAAGTGGTAGAATTTTTTTTTTTTTTTTAAAAAAAACATTACAAACCTGATACTATCCATAAAATGGCGAAAAATCTAAAGAAAACGAATAATAATAAAAAATTAGTAAAATTAAAAAAAAACAATGAATAAAATTCGAAAATGATTAGAGAATAAAATAATATATATACCCATCAATTCCCATATCTCTATATGATGATCCATCTCTCCAAAGTACATTAAATCTAATTATATACCATCCTATTCGATAAAGTTAATAGAAGTTTAATTTCTAATCCTTGGTACTAAAAATATAAACTTAAAAAATTAAAACTTACCAATAACAATTATTGTAATTATAATAACTATATAAAAGTATATTTTAATTCCATAACCTCCGAATTTCCTAAATTTTATATAAATGTTTGTTTGATACCATTTTTTTTATATGATAAATGCTGGATAATAATAATTTATGTTAGAAGAAATGCTTACTCAAAAAATTTTGATGTCGGTATATTGAGATCAGAATAATATTTTGTGAATTCTATAATTTGCATTATTTCTATTCGAAGTAAATTTTTTTTTTTTGGAATTCTTTTGTCAGAAAAATATTGTATGTGAGAGAGAAAAGAACGAAAAAAAAAAAAATTTTATATTTAAAGAATTCATTTATTTACCAAGACTCAAACATGCTAAAGTAAGTAAAAGTTGTAAAATTTTAAGATATCGAAATAATGAAGGTTTTGTATATAAATCCATGATATTTTTTGTGATGATTGTGATGATGAGCTTGACATGTCAAAATTATAAAATTATTATTTAAAGATGAAAGTGATTTCAATAACTCGAATTAAAATTTTTATTTTATTTCATATAATCGATTATGTAGTTATATATATATGTATAATTTTAGATATTTGAATACAATGGTTCTACATAATTAAATCAATTAATCTATAATAATGAATATACGTTAAATTACTTCATGCTGCTTTATGTTACTTTCAGCGGCTTATATTTACGCTATTTAAAATTTTGGTAACCATGTGTATCTGCTTCTAATAATAACATTCATTGTGCTACTCTAAATGAAAATGAAAAAAAGTAAAAGAAGAGGACAACATTTTGTTTTACTTTTCTTTACATCCGAAATTTTTTTTATTCCATTTTTCATATATATTTTTTACTCATTTTTATTTAAAGATATTATGTGAAGATATTTTAATTATTGATTACAAAAATTGACAATGCAATGAAAAAGATTAGTTTCACATAAATGCACTCCGTGCATTTATTATTATTTTTAATAATTGAATTATAATAAAATATTCAATTAATCTAAACCTTAAAAAAATTTTTTTTTTTGGATGAAGACTTTTTTGGAAAGTTATTGAATGGTTAATAATATTTCATCTAACCACTTTTTTTCATTGGTATATTTTTTTCAAAGTAATGAAAATCACATTTTTTTTCAACTATCCCTTTTTGGTTATTCCCAAAATAAAATAAAATGCGAAATTGTTTCAATTTTTTACATAATTCCCAATGAATGATTATTTATTATTTTATAATAAATAATAACAATAAATAATAACATAACAATAAATAAATAATTGCCATTGTCATTTTTATAGAATTTCTTTGATATGATAATCGAAATTTTATCTTAAACAGGTCCTTAAACTATCATTCATTAACTTCAAAGTTCTATAATATTCATCATAAGCATTTCTATAAAAAAGGTAAACTTCTGGTTTAAGTCTCTTGTTTGCATATGGTGGTCTTTTTTGTGATTTATTAAAAGTTTTAATTTATATTAATAAGTTGATATTCGATTTAATTTTAAAGTTAATTTTAAAAAGTTATAGTAAGTTAGTATTATAATTAGTAAGAGTAAGTTATAGATTTACCTTCTACAATATTTATCCTCAATATAAGTCATCTGACATAAAGTATAAATGACTCGATGTTCAAATCCACCCCGTCGAGATGCAATTTCCATGAATTTTATTGTATTTTCGACTTTATTATTATTAATATTATTATAATAAAAAAATTATTTTAATAAAAAAAAACCCCCAAAAAAGAGTATCTAAAAAAAAAAGTATCACTTAAATAAATTCTCACCACGTTCATAAAGTTCTTTTAACATTTTCTCATTAGTTTCATTTCGATATTCCTCAAATCCTTCACGAATTCTTTTATGAACATATTTCACTGCTGGTCTCGAATATAACACTGATGCATTACCAGCTCGCCATAATCTGCGGAATAAAGAACATGATTGAAATGAATTGATAATCATAGAGGGTTGAGAAAGAGATTTTTGCATTTATTTATTTTATTTATTTCCAAAAAAAAAAAAAAAAAAAACCAAGTGTACAAAAATCAATTTTGCATATACAGAATATATAAACTGCGCCGATAATATCAAATAATATAATATCAAAATAATATATATATATATATATATATATATATATATAGTGTATATTTAAAAGTATATCAAAAAAATAAAGGAAATAATAATAAAACTATCAATCAATATATTATATATTTATTCTACATTCTATATAATTATTATAATTATTCAAATAATTATTCAATAATTATTCAATATGATATATTTATATATTATATATTGTATATATGTGACTCCGTGAAATTCCCTTAATTACCCTACATTTGCTTTTCTACCAATACCATTTATTTATTGACTTTTTGTTTTCGTCAATTTTTTTCGAATTTATAATATTTATAATAATAAGAATATTTATAATATTTATAATATTTATACAAAGGAGGTTGAAACAATCTTCGATTGAATCATGAACACGTTCGGAACACCGATTTCAGGCTATAATAATAATAATAATAATAATAATAATATATATATATAAATGAGATAAATAAATAAAATAAATAAATGAGATAAATAAATAAATAAAATAAATAAATAACTCACTTGGTCATCTAATTTGCCCAAAGCGGATAACATCATAGTTTCATCTTCTTGATCATTACCATTATCATCTTCATCCGCATAATTTTCTTCATCGTCATATTCGATATTATTTTGTGATAATTCCATATCTTCATTATTATTATCCATATCAATATCATTACTCTCATCATTATTATCAATAAAATCATCATCATCATCATTATTATTATTATCCCAATTAGCTTGAATAAGATTAGAAATATTGGGAAGATCGGGAAGATTAAGAAATTGATCATCTTGATTTCCTTGTGATAATCTATTACTATTATTACGCATTGAATTATGCTTTTCTTTCTTAGATTTTAACATTCGACATTGATAAAAACCACAATTTTCTGACCACCTATTTCTACAAATCCAACAAAATCTATATCCACAATGTAAACAATCTACTTTATTACATCCATCATCCCGATTAATAAGTATAGAACAATTAGGACATGATTTTGAATTCGCAAGTTTCCATTTGATATTTTCAAGCGCATCCATCATGTTATTATTATTATTATTATTATTATTATAATTCATATTATTATTATTATTATTATTCTGATTATTATTTTTGTTATAATTATTATTTTTGTTATAATTATTATTTACATGATGGTATGTCATCATTTGATTTGAAACAAATAAATGAGGATTTGCTACTTTATAACGCATAAATTGAATGCATGTCATTCCGGGATGATGAGTTGATTCACCACATTGAAGACAAATATCATTATTACAACGAGAACTATAAAATAATAATAATAATGAAAAATGTAATTATTTTAAATATTTTACATAGATAATAATATAATGTACAGTATTAAGATAATTGTGATAAATAATTACCAATGAGATTGTGGAAAGTTTGAAACGTGCATAAATTGTAATTCCTTCCATGCTTCAGGTCTAACTTCCAATGCTACAACTTTTGATGAAATTTCTGCTGCTGCTTTAACCATTTCTGTATGAATTTTTAATTTACGACGCGTGAATTTTGTCGTAGATTTACTAATATATATATATATAAATAAACAAATATATATATAAACATAATTCATTATTGAAAAAAAAAAAAAATCTTTAAAAAAAAAAAAAAAGAATATGTAATTTACTTCATTCCAAGACTCTCTCCTAACTTTTCTGCAATGTATTCATACATTTCCATCACACCAATATTAGCATTTTCATCAGAAACATAAGACATATAATCATTTTGATATCGTTCAAGGAAAACTTCAATGTCATTCGAATTAGGGTTAGACATTGAATTTTTACCTTTCGTAGTAATTTTACAATTAACATAAGTTTCTAAATATTTTCGAAGATTATTGCCAATTTCACTAAAATATCTATATATATTTATATTTATATTTATATTTACATTAAGAGTATATCCAAATAAAATAATATGTTAAAAAAAATCTTTTTTATATAATGAATGAATGAATTAAATAATAAAATGATTAATTACTTTTCTCTTTCTTCAACACAAACTTGAAATACTTGAGCAGCAAAAACCTCTTCACCACATTCGGAACAACAACGAGAGAAAGAGCGATAAGGTTTATTATAGGTATTGTATAGATCAATTGTGCTTTGATCTACATACTATATATATATATATATTATTATTATTATTATTTATTATTATTTAAAAAATGAATCAATAAAATGGATTTTAAATAAAAAAAATGTTTTTTTTTTACCTTGCTCCATTCTGATTGTAAAATTATGTCTTGACAAACAGGACACTTAATCTTTGTGATACTAAGTCCCCAAGAATTTTGTACCACTTCTTTAACATATCTAAATACAAAAAAATATATGTGTATTGAAGTAATATATTAATTGAATAATTCTTATTAATTAAATAATAATTTGTACGATTGTAAATTATAAAATTTATATAAAAGATTACCTTTGAAAACAATCTCTACAAAATTGATCTCTACAAATGTCCAAACAGAAATCGAGCTGAGCATCAAAACATATTGAACATCTTTGAAGCCAGTATTCAATATCTTGAGCCGAAGTCGATGCATCAACTTCTCCTCCATTATCACTCCTTTGCGAGGAGGAAGAGGAAGCGGAGGATGAAGGACCGGAATTATTTACGGAAGACAGATTGAACAAAGTAGATGTTCGAGATTTTTTTGAAGTAAAACTGCTACCAATAGCAATAGTTTTTGAAGCGAAAAATTGTAAGGAACGAACAAAAATTGCTGGAAAGATCTAATTAAAATATATATATATGTATATATATATATAATATATAAATATAATTAATAACGTGTTAATAATAATAAAAATAAAATCATTTTTATACTTACTAAAGTTGGAGAAAAAATGTAAAGAAGTGGAAGAGTATAAGCCAATAATAAATTTATTATAGAATATTGTTTCAAATTGGTATATATTGGAGATAAATAATATAGATAATAATTGGTTGAAAGGTTTTGATTTCCCAAAACCAAAAGTTGAAATGGTAAAGAATTGTATAAAGTATGATAGAAAGAAGAAGCCAGTAGATCCCAGTGATTATTGTTAACTGATTCAAAAAAGGGCTGCGAATTAAAATTAAACAAATTCAACGGTTTCATTTGAATGATTGATTTTCACTGTTTTTTTTTTTTTTTTTATAAATAATTTTTTAAAAAAATAAATAACCGTATAATAATAATATTCTTTAATAAGCTGCGCGCGGAGTTCAATATAATGCTAGGCGGGGATTACAAACAGGAAATGGATAAGTACAAAATGATATACTATTATTCCTAACAAAAAACAACTGCGGACAAATAAATTTTTACTATATTGTTTACAAAAATAAATTATTATACAATTTATAAATTAATGAAAAGAAATAATATATGCAAAGTAAGAAATAAAAAATCTTCAAATAAGTGGAATCTAAATTCCGCCTCGAGCTTGCTGAATAGGAAAATAAAATAAAATATATAAAAGTAAGTACTATCTTATCTAACGAAAAAACTTTGTACAAGAAAAACTATAAAAAGAACATGAACATTATACAAATTAAAAATTTGATTTCATTCAATTTTATTTATTTTTATATATAAAAAAAATTTTTACAAAGAGACGAAAAAAAAAAAAGAATGAGAAGAGGTAAAGAGTAATGAAACAATGTAATTTTCCTTTAATAAACAAATTGTACGACATATTTATTAACAATATCTACGTCATGGATTCTAAACAAGGCATAGTGCAACTTTTACGTAATACATGTGATACATTCCTAACAAGATGAGGCGAAGATTAAGGTAAAAGTATAGGTAATAAATTTTTTTTATTCTTTTTCTTTTAAAAGATATATTTGATATTTAAGATATAATTAGAACATAATAAGACTTAATAGACATAATGAAAAAAAATTTCAGTGCATCAAAAGTGCATTTATTCATGCATTTTCACAATAATGATAATATAATAAATGAATAATAATAATAATAATAATGATAACAATAATGACAATAGTGACCAGTTTATCACATGAGTTAATTGTTATTATTATTATTATTATTATTATTGTTATTGCAGAACCTAATATTTTTCCTATTTCAGAATCATTTTCCCATTATACTCTTTTTTGTGACAAAATACCTAATCCGAGAATAGGAGACATTTATTTAATACGTTTCACTAATATAATAGAATTCAAATATAATCCGAATTTTTTCATAAAGCTATAACGTTTACTGCCAATTCATAAACAATAATTTAAATATATAAATAGATTAATAGATTGAAAATCAAGGGGTGTGAATTTTATTGAAAAATGAAAATTATAATAAATGATTCCTTGTCATTATATATTCAATTACGAAGAACTAATCTGCAACAAAAAATGTTATTCGATATGGATAAGAAAATGTTTAAGAAATTGACCTCGGCTAAACGTAATTCCTTTTCCTCCTTCAATTTTATTCGTACCTGATCACATTGATCTTTATAAAATCTGCAAGACGAATTAGTATTGCTTTTTTATTATATTATATCTACACAATGCAGAACTATTAAAATGCCTCTTTTTTATGGATTAGGAATTATTTTGATTATAATTGTATTAGGATGAATAATTAGTAAATTTAAAGATGAATAATTATGTTAGAAAATTACTTTTACTTCTAGTTATCCTAGACATAACGGACCACTAAGAATCTTTAATACTACCTATCAAAAGAAAGCTCAAAGATACAGTAGCTTGTCTCAAAATTTTACTTCAGGCAATGGACATCTGTAAATCGAACATTATCAATTAAAACATCCATAGAAAAAGATTTTGAAGAGATGTTATTAGATATAACAAAAATTGGCATTTTTGTAACAGTTCTAACCATTTTGAGTGGATAAAACCTCTGAAAAACTTAAACTGTTTATAGATGTAAAAGAATAAAAAATTACAGAGATCATGTGTATGGGGAGAATGTAAATTTCTTCAAACAGTTGTATGGTTAGAATTACGTCTTTAAAGGTTTAAATGATGAAGTACCTACAAATGTGATTAATGAAAGTATTGATGAAGCTTTGATAGCTAAAGGAATTATAAACAAAAGAATTTGAAAGGTACTGAAAAATCATAATATCATTTAAATCTAAAAAAAAGATTTAAAATAGTTAATGACTATTCGTGCATAAAATTTTTCAAAAAAAAAAAAAATTGGAAATCATTTTTACACAAAATATCTTCATAATTCTTTGACTTTATCATTAAAACGATGTAAACCCAATAAATTAGAAGATAGGAAGTGTGATTTGTATCCATTTCATTTTCAAACAAAGAAAAAACATAATAAATGGCCATTGCAAAAGATAAATTGTGACAGTAAACTTACATATACACGAAAAACAAATGAATGGATATTTCATTGGGTATATGAAACACAGAAACAGATCCGTGAAACTCAAGCGGAAGTTCATGTAGTTTCAATTAATCCAGGTGTCCATACTTTATTCACATGGTATTCTTCAACAAAAGGTACAGGCAATATAGGAGAATATGATATAGGACGTACATCTCTTTCGTTTATGTAAACATATGGATAATCTTACATCAAAAAAAGAAAATCTGTCCTCTTCAATGTCGAAACGAAAAAAGAAGAAAGCACAAAGCCATTTCTCGCATGCAACGAAAGATTAGACGAATGCGGAATAAAATTCATCGAAAAACCATCAAGTTCTTAACTGATGAATTTGACATAATTGTTATTCCCCCTTTCGAGGTTTCAGATATGATAAATAGAAAAAACACGAAAGATAACAAGGAAAACAGTTAGAAAGATGCTTTGTTGATCTCATTGCAAGTTTCGACAATGATTGATTTCAAAAGCAAAAAGAATGGAAACCATGTGATAATTCAAAATGAAGCTTGCACATCAAAGGCATGTAGTTGGTCAAATGCAAAATTGCAATGTGAAAATTGACAGAGATGTCAATGGTGCCCGAGGGATATTCCTTCGGGCTTTGCTTGATGGAGCCATAATTATGCAGGAAATAGTAAACTTTGCTTAGTATTGTTTATTATTATTGATATATTACAATAGAAACCCCATTTTTTACCTTATTTATGATTCCATAATTGCTAAATAATAAACTTGATAATAATAACGATAAAATAGTCGAGACCTTTATTAAAATTTATTAGATGGAAAATTATGATTCCATAATTGTTAACGATAAAATAGTTAAATTTATTAGATAATCAAAGTCAGATGTATCTGTAATTTTATCAAACAGTAAAAAAATTGCAATTTGTTATAAAAGAAAGAATTCAATAACGTATCGTTTTATGTTAACAATCCAGTATGCCATAAATACTTTTTAAATTTATTTTTTCAAATTATTTTTTAAATTTTAAATTCTTTACTTTAGACATAGAAATATCCGGTTAATTACTTGATTAATATATATTAAAAAATTTATCCACTTTCTCTCTCTTTTCTCTCTCTTTCTTTTTCCTCCTCCTCTCTTTTATTTAAATATTAAATTTGACCAATTAACTATATATTTTAACCGGTTAAATTTAAAAGACTACTTTAATCGCAACTAACTGTTTAAACACAGTTAAATTCCAATTTCTACTTTATACAAAAATTAAACGTATGTCTCATGCAACAACCCTCAGAAGATGGTATGGTAACAGAAGGGTCTCGTATATTACCATCCCTAGTAGAAAGAGATTCTGATCGATATCCAATCTGGGACACACATACCAGGGAGGTTGTTCTGACAATCCTATGAACTCAACAAACCCAATGCTTCTCGACATTAATTTCAAAATATCGGATCCAGACGATCTTTTATCAGTCGCAGTGTACAAGGAATAACAGTTTAAGAGTCATATCAAATAAGGAAAGAAGAACATGAGAAGATTAAGAAAAAAAAAGAAGAAGGTATGCAGGCAAAAGATTTTTACAAACAAAGAAGCAAACATTTTTCATTTTTAAGAAGTATCAAAACATCAGAAAAATTATCAATTATTAAACATTCATTTAAGATAACCAGAAACAAATTAAATCATACCAATATCGTGTAAAAAAATTACAAAAGAAAATAATGATATAATATCATTAGGTGTTCACACCTTTATGACCAGGTATGATCCAAAAGGGAATATAATTGAATGTGGAAAAATGACATCCAAAAGATATGACAAATATCAAAGCGAAAAGTCTTTATTAAAAGAAAAAATAAACAAAAGATACATAATCAAAAGAAAAATGAAATTTAATTGCAAGAAATTTGCAAAATTATCTTTGTGAAAATTACAAATTCATCCTACTTCCGAAATTCGAAATCCAAGAAATGACAACAGGATGAAACGAAAAATCAACAGCAAAACCGCAAGAAAGATGATAACCTGGGCTCATTACAGGTTTAAAATGATTTTAGAACACAAGATGTGTGAATATTCGGGAAGAATATTAATGATATGAAGAAGATTACACATCAAAGACATGTGGATCCAAAATTTACAAATGCAATTCATGTGATTTTAAGATTGATAGGGATCATAACTGAGCAAGAAACATCTTGCTCAAACCTGAGTCAGGGAAACTTGGTGTTGTGGCCTACCACGCTCCACCCGTAAAAAGGTTGTTCTATAAACCAAATACTAACGGTATTTTTTATCGCGAATGTTTGGTTTTTCTGTAGAAGTGGGAGTAAGGTAAGGTAAACTGGTATGAAAAAGCATACGCAAAGGTTCGAATCCTTTCGCTTCAACTTGTGCTTATCTATCAGTCGAAAGTACGTCTCGCAAAGAGTAATAAATCAAATTATCTCACACACGTGATTTAACGAAAATATTTCCTTTTATTAAAATCACTTCATTAGTTTTATTATATTTTATGAAAGTTATATTTTAAAGTCATATTTACATAAGTATTAATTTTATTTTACTAATTTCAATGTTTTTAATGAGTTTTTGAATTTGATAAAAAAAAAAACTCTAAATTCTCGGCATCTTGTTTTTATGTAATTTTACATTAAGGTTCAACATTTAAAATTATTGGGAATTAATAAAAAGTGAAGAGAACCATTTTAGGGTACTTTTTCTTTGGAATGGAAAATGAAATAATAAAATAACCCCAAAACTTTAATAAAATAATATTATTCCTCATCATCTGAATTAAATTTAGACTTCTTTTTAGCAGGAGCAATATTTTTACGGCGAGCAATATTTTGTTGAGAGGATGAAGTCGACTGATTCCTATTAGTTGAGGTTGATTGTGAAGTTGCTGCTCGTGTCCTTGATGAAGGTCTACTCTTCATATTAGCATTAGTATTATTGCTCTCTTCATCTAAGGCTAATTCACCACTACTCGAAGTTATATTTGAAGAAATACTTTGTCGACGAGATAACGATACATTCGAAACACTACGTATCTGTTTGTTTTTCTTAGTATCCGTTGATTGTGGTTGTTGTTCTGTACGTGAATCAGATTCTTCTTCAGAAGTAACATGTATTCTCTTTCTAGAACGTTGTTTAGTTGAAGCTTTGGGTAGTTCATCTTCACTGTCCTCTTCACTTGTAGCTTCTTTTGGAGGAGGGTTGGGAGGAGGATTTTTTTTAATTTGAGAACGTAATATCCTATCTTTCCTATCCACGACACGAGGTTTAGTTTTTGTCGTATAATGAGTTGTATCTAATTATTTGAATTATTTGAATTATTGGAATTATTGGAATTATTTGAATTATTTAAATTATTTGAATTATTTGAATTATTTAAATTATTTGAATTATTTGAATTATTAAATTATTTAAATTATTTGAATTATTGAATTGTTTGAATTATTTGAATTCGAGTCAAAAAAAAAAAAATTTAAGAATAACAAATTATAAATGTATAATCATACCTTCTTCAATATCCATTTTGTCGTCCTCTTGTTCTTCTGATGATGATTCACGACGGGTCGCCTTCTCAACTAATTTTTTTACATCCGTTACTTTACGTTTAATTTGCGTAAAACCTAACCATAAAAATTTATTGTTTCAATATAAAGAATAATCCAAAAACCATAAAAAAAATATTACCTTTAGTCAAATCTTGATTAGTGTTTTCGCACAATTCTTCAATCACGTTAATAACAGCTTTAGCATAATTCAAACCATCTTCTGAATAATCCTCATTCTTCAATATTTCTTTTAAAATTGGGTCTAATTGTGTACTGAATTGAGTAGAATAATTCTTGTAAGAGGAGAGAAATAGAATTGACAAAAATTTTATATTTTCGGATCTTGCATCATCTGATTTTGCGTTTGTAATTAAACTAAACAGAGATTTAATAATCTTGGAACTTGGTTTAATGGATTCGAGAATCCACAATAAAGCAGTCATTATCTCGGGGTTTTCTAAAAAAAAGATAATATATAATAATAATAATAATAATAATTATAATAATTGTAAATCTTGTCTTTTTTGTTTTGATTAGTAACGATAAAAAAAATGAATAATAAAAATAATGTTAACACACCAAGCGGATCTAATGTTTTCATAAGTTTCGAAGAACAAATTAATTGTTCAACTTTCTCTTTATCTCCACCCCATTCCGCTTTCATTAAATGGAATAACATCAATTGGTCAAATGATTCCCAACTTTGTAAATGATCTGTAAAATTAATAAATTTAATAAACTTTTTGCAACAAAAAAAAAAGAATAATTCAAAAAAAAATTTTTTTTTTTGCTAATAAAAGCTCACAGAATATCTCATCAAATCTTTCTGCTTCTCCCATAATATTGTATTTTCCTTGCCTAAGGTCAATTTCCAAATTATATATCTATAAATTATTAAAAAAAATTAATAAAATGAAAAATTAATAGTCGTGGGTTTTTCTTAAAAAAGTTATTTTTTTTTATTTATTATTTACCATCATGGGATTCATTCCTTTGACACATAGATGAATAAATATAGGATTTCCTACAAAATAATCCGGCCATTTTGTAAGCAATATCGGCACTATTGAAAGAAACAAACTACTTTGATTTGATCTAAGACACTAGAAGGTCATAAAAGAGTTATAAATAAGTTCAAATGATTATAAAGAATTATAAAGAAGTAAAGTTAAATATTTGATATATTTTAGATATTAGATATACAAAAATAATTTTTTACTTCAATCAAATAATTGTTATACCTCTAAATCAGTTATAAACCTATCCTTAAACTTATTAATCTTATCGTTCTTATCTTGTTTATCCGATTTCGGGTCTTCTCGTTCCAGTTCAAATCTTAGATACTTCCTGTAAATCTCAAGGAAATTGGGTTGGCTTTTATCAACACAACCCATTTGATCAAGTTTATTGTCTCTGTTAGATGATTTCAAAATATTCCAATTTTGAAAGGAAATTGCCAAGAAATTAATATATCGAAGAGATTAAATATCAAAGAAAAATTAAATACTAAAGAAAAATACGCAATAAGAAAAAAAAACTACCTCAAATTATAAATCATCAACTTTGTCCTGGCTTTTATACATATTTCCTTAGGATCATCTGTCTGATTCGTAATTAATCGTAAAAGTTCAAAGGCTTTATGTGTATTTGAATCTCTATTATTAGATTCATCAATTGGCCATTTGAATACCCATGAAACAAGTTTATTAAAAAGATTTAACTCTGATGGAGAAATTTCTAATTTCTTTAAATCTAAATTTATGTTTGAATAACTTAATTCATTAAAATTTAAAGAATTGCAAATAGGTTTTCCAATTGCAGGTGGTAAATCTTTAAGGTGGGGAGATTGCGTATTTCCTAAATCGGCACTCTTTTAAATTCATAGAATCCAAAAAATAAAAATAAAATAAAATAAAATAAAATTAGAACCCAAAAAGTTAAAAAAAATATTGTTTTGAATAATGAATAAAAAAACAAAAAAAAATACCCCTATAAATGTTTTAAAAATTTTTCCAAGAGTTTCAACAGCTAACTCTATTTTGTTGTCCTTAACAGCTTCCTCAAATGGTGGCAATGATACGGCATACAACCACATTCTAGATAAAGCAGATAGATTTTTTGATACATTTTTTGTATTAGAAGAAGAAGAAGTAGAAGAACTTGATGCACTTGATGAACGTTGATCTTGCGAAGATGTTGCAGTAGTGGTGGTGGTAGTAGAAACAGACGACAATGACTCATTAGGCCTTGTTGGATTACTTTGAGGAGTAGTGGATGTAGTAGTACTTTGAGATTTTGGATTAGAAAATAATGATTGTTTTCGTGGAAAACTAAAAGTTGAGGAATCTAAATTTTGTTGTTGATCAGCAGATTGACGCTGAGAACCAAATGCCACATTTGGAGATGTAATTTGCTGTTTTTGAGAAGATAAAGAAGGTGGTGGTTGTGCCTGATTAAATGTGGGAGTTGATGGTCTTTGAGAACTTGATTGAGGAATTGGTTGAGGTGAACTTTGTTGAGAATTTGGTTGAGGAGAAATTTGGTGAGAACTTGGTTGAGGAATCTGTTGAGGAGGAATTTGTTGAGTTGGGATTGTTTGATTAGGAAATGAAAAACTTTTTGGAGGATTATAGTTATCAGGTTGAACTAATGGACTTGGTGAAGGAGGTAATAAAGGATTACGTTGAGAATGTGGAAAATGGGAAGTTTCGGTTTGAGGAGTAATTGATGAAGGAAAAATGGGACCTCGAGAAGAAAAATTTGTCTGTTGAGATTGTTGTTGAGGTTGAGGTTGAGGTTGAAGCTGAGGCGGAGGCGGAGGTTGTAGTTGTTGCATTCCCATCGGAACATTGAATTGTGGTGTCAATTGAGGTCCGAATAATCCTGGCTGATTATTATTATTTAATACAAAAGCATATATATCATTCATTAATTTTCCAGCACGGCCTTCACCAGCTATAGTACGCATTTGAGTAAGCTCTTCTGTGCTAATTTTTAAAAAATAAATCGCGTTAGAATAATAAGTTAGATAAATTTAAAAATTTTTTTTTTTTTTTTTTTTTTGATTTGATCATATAAAATATACCTCAAAATATTCTTTCGTACCATAGCAAGTGTTGCAGATTTAAGATTGTCACGAAATTCAGATTCAAAACCAGGAGCGAAATTAGTAACCGTTATTGAAAGATATTCCATAATTTCGCCCACCAATGCAGGACGTTTGGGGAGTAAATCGGATATTATTCTAAATATAGGCTCTAAGAATAAGAATAATTATTAATACCGAATTATAAGAAATAATTATAAAAACAAAGAATTATAATTACCAATATTATTCTTATTTTCGATCGCTCTCGGCGAATTACTTGATACATTATTTCTATCAAAACATATACAATCTAATGTTAACGCCAGTTTTGTCGACTCGATAACCATACTTTTAGATAATCCGAAAAAATCTTTGTCATACTGCACATTATCATCATAAAGTAATGAATAAAATAATCAAAAAAAAAAATAACATGAAGCAAAAAAAAAAAAATAATTAATATAATTAATATTCGACTCACAGCTTCCAAAAACAATCCTTTAATTAAATTATGTCTCTTATTATTTGATTCAGGTTTTGCAGAACGAAATGCGCCAATAATCCATCTAAAGATATCAGCCATTAAGAGACGACAATCACCTGGAACCGGAAAAAAATCTCTAAACAATACTTCAAATTTACGAGGATATGCGGATGGTGTATGCTATAAGAAAATAATTGAATTATGATGAAGTTTTTTCAACTATTTAAATCAAATTCCACTAAGAAAAAAAGAAAAAATAAAAAGAATATTCATACATTTTCTATATAATGAACTAATCTTGCTTTTAAGTCACTGGATATACGACTACTTAAACAATATTCAACTGTTGGATTTCGTAAAATTAGAGTTTTTGCTACAATATAAAAAAAAAATGCAGAAATGTAGACTTAGTTTTACGAATTTCTCAAATATGAATTGAAATTATTAAAGATATTTATTAAATTATTTATTAAATTAATTGTTAAATTTTTCGTAAAATTATTTATTATATTATTTATAATATTATTTATTAGATTGATTATATAATTATTTATAAAATTAATTATAAAATTATCTATTGTTAAATATCTACCACTATAATCCAACCCGTGCAATATAGTTACAAATTCAGGAATATTTCGTAATAATCTATATAAATCTCGACCAATACTAAAACATGTATTATACTACAAAATAAAAAATAAAAATAAAATAAATAAAAAATATGCGAAATAATAATAATAAAAATAAAGAAAATAAAGTAAAGAAGAATAAAAAAAAGGAAACAATTCTACCTGATCGTCAAATAATTTCTTGCAAAATATTGATTCTTTCTTTCTGAGACTTTCTAATCCAGGTCTATCATGATCCCGAATCAAACTTGAAAATGTATAAAAGGTTATATGTATTAACCTCTCATTGCAATATAACCAATTTCTAATACTTTAAAATAATTAAAAATAAAAAAGAATATTAAACTTATTATATAAAGAAACAGAAAAGAAGAGAAAATAAAGAAAGAGAATTGATAATCACATTTCGGAATTTAATAATTCAAGTATTTCTTTTATTAACCAAATATTTTTTTCACCAAAATCTCCACCTTAGAAATTTAAAAGGAAATAATTAATTATATAAAAATATACTAACAAACAAATAAACAAATGGATAGATAAAATTTTTTTACATCGAATTTGTCGAAGAAGACATTCCACCACATCGTATAATGCCGGTAAAACATTTCTAATGTTCGTAACGTTCGAGTGATCAATAATGAGATTCTTAACAAGATATATGATCCTTTCAATTATTTTTTTCGAATATAATTTAAATCCTTTATAGGAAACAATTTGGACCATAAGATTTATAGGATATTCATAATTATCTGTGGCATGATCTGCTATATGATCATAATACTAAAAGAAATTTAAATTTAAAATAATTTATTTAATTTATGAATATCAAAAAAAAAAATTATAATAATTATATATTTACATTTTCATAATCATCTTCTGTCAAGACTGCATAAAGTAATGCAGAGATTGGTTTATTATATCCTATTTTTCCAATCTAATTTTGTAAAAAAAAAAAGAATAGATTAAAATTATTTCTAAAAATTACATATAATAATAGATAATAATAAATATTTCTTATTATAATAATAATTACTAAATCATAAAGAATTCGTCTTCTTTCTTCTTGTCCTGAATTTCCATTAAGATTTTCCATTAAAGTTTGATGGCTTTGAATCATTTCCTAATTGATAAAATATAAAATAATATAATAAATCATGATAATTAATTAAGCTGATATATTTGATCTGTTATGGATTTTACTATTAATGGTATTTACTATTAATGGTAAAGTTAAAAAAAAAATTACCTTGACAAACTTTGGTGGTTCAGTCACTGTAACAAATCCTGATTCTTCAAACATTTTTTTTTTCTAAAACTAAAAGAAGACTTAAAAAAAAGTAAATATAAATCAAATAAGTCTTCTCTAATCAAGAAGAAGAAGAAGAATAATAATAATATCAGATATATAATGCTGAATGAAATACCAGTAAAAAAAATATACAAAAACAAAGATTCACAAGCCAAGATTTTTTTTCAGATTCCAGATCTTAAATAGAAAATCAGTAACACAATCATGTTATGTAAAGCCACATGCTTATAGCATTTTACGCCAGTTTTATAATTTATATAATTTTTTATAATTAACGAAATAATCGAAATAATTTGAATGTAATTTTACTAAAAATAATAAAGTAATTGATAATTGAAATAACTAAAACTTCTAAGTATTGTTTTATTTACAATATTACAATATGATATTAAAACCAATTTTACATATGTACAAAAATTAAAATTAAATTAAATAAATTAAGCTAATGTAAATTAAATCAATGTGTTTCCGCTGGTCTCGATAAATATTCTAATTCATATCCGTTTTCATCTTCATCCCTCAAATATTCTACACGTCCATCTTCATCTTCTATATAAATTTCTATTCTATCATTAATGTTATTAATGTTATTGTTATTAATGTTATCAATATTATTAGTGTTATTGTTATTAATGTTATTAATGTTATTAGTGTTATTAATTTTTGTTAAATAATCTATATTGATATTACTATCATTATAATCTAATGTTTTTTCAAAAATTATTATCCCCGAAAGAATTATTGAAATTATAAATGTGATGGTATTTAACGATCCAATTATTATGCTAGCTAAATATGAATGACACCATACCAAGTAATATAATTGTGATGGTCTGTCATAATCTCCTGCATCGCATAATAAACTTCGACCTTCATAGACTGGATATATACTTGCTAAATCTAAAAAAAAAAGGAGAGAAAGAAAAATGTGATAAGAAATGTTTATTAAAAAAATATATATATATCAGTAAATCTTGTGAATTTTTAATTTTTTTAATTTTTTTTATTCCTTACCTGATGAAATCCATAATAAAAATAAAAAACTATAAAATATTGAAAGAATTGAAAGAATTAAAGAATTAGGAAAAAAAGCAAAAAAGGTTTAAATCACGTGAAATAAAGATTGAATGCATACATGTCTATCGAAATCCATATTTTAGGACCTTTTGTCCATATCTTTCCAAAACGAATAAGAGAATATCCTAAAATATTATATTATAAATTAAAATGAATAATAAAAAATAATACATATTCATTTAAATACCTATTATTATTATCGTGAGTCCTATAACAACAAAGCACCAAATTTTTACTTGACCATTATATCTAAACAGTATTATAAAGAATGAGATTTTTATTATCAAAAGAAAAAGATAATAAAAAAGTATTAAATCTATTACTTACGTTCCCTCATGTACGAAATATATTGACAAGGAAACGTGATCTTGAATTAAATAATTAATCATACGAATAAATATAGAGAATTGAATAGCTTCTAATCAAGTTAAAAATCCATTAACCAACATAAAATTAAAAATTAAAAATTAAAGAATTTAAGTTTATTAAAATATCCAATTTTTTTTTTTTTTTAAAAAAAACAGAAAGGAGATAAAATTATTAAGGTTATTACCTAAAGAAAGAACGAAAATTGTCAATACAAATTGAAAAACCCTCAGTCTAACCCAATTTATTTTTCTCTCATATATTTTCATTTTTCGATAATGAAAATATAATGAGACTTATATTCTCGAATATTTATACCAAACCTTTTATATTTTTATCACATGTTGAAATATACTGATGATATAATGATATATATACTATACTAATAATAATATTCCGTTTAAAGCCGAGATAACTAATGACCGATTTGGAAATTAGAATAAATTGTCAAAACACGAGAGAGAATTGTTTACATTATATTTAGATGTACCAATAACAATGCTATAATATTTAAAAGGTATGTGGGAATGAGATATGTTACACATGTTGCATACATATATATCGTGTATAGTGTAATATGTTTCACCGCAATTTATTTATATAAAGTTTATATAAAGTTTATATAATGAAGTTTATAATAAGGTTATATTGAGTTTATGTGAAGTTTGTATCCTATATCCTTATTCAAAATGCGTGTTTTATTGCTTATTTAATTAACCATGAATGAGAAAAAAAAAATACAAAATATATGTATGAATATTTCGCTAATTATTTTTCATTCATGGCAGCAATTATTTATAACAGTTAAAATATTAAGAGCCTCCCTATATCTTGTAAAGTGATATTAAATACCAAGGGAGTCTTGTAAGTGAAAAAAAAAATAATTTAATTATAGTCTGTAAAATTTAACGTAATTATATTCGATATCTGTCAATTTTTAAGTATAACAATTAGTAATAATAATAAATAATACATAATTAAACCCTTAAATTCCTAAGTACTTGGAACAATTTCTTGATCATGATTCAGAATCGAAATAATTGGACACAGATTCGATTGGAATGTGTCAACAAATAATGTAACAATAGCAAAGTAGTGTAAACAGTTATGAGTAAGTAAATAAATAGAAAGAAAAAAAAAAAAAGGCAAGAAAGGAAAAAAAGAATATGGTCACACATAATAGAACCTAAAGACTTGTTCGGCTGTAATGTTTGTAGTAATCTTTGTTTTTTTAAAAAAAAATCTTTATATGGTCTAGCTTAAAAAGTATTACAATGATAAATAATATTGGATTTAACCAAAAAAAAAAAAAAAAGAATTCAGAATGACCGTGTTTACTCGGTTTAGAAAATTTTAATATAAAATGAAATGCAAACAGTAAATAAAAGGTTCTATGTATATATAAAGTATAGTGTTACATGAAACGTAAATACAAAGAAAATGAAAAAAAAAAAATACCAAAAGAAGTTGATTTTTTAAATTTATTGGATGAGATGCATGCCAATGTTTTTTTTTTCTTCAATAAAGAAGTAGTGATTACAAAAATAAACAAAATTAATTTGTGGAAATAATAACTAAATATAAGAATTTAATCCGAATCCTTTAGAATCGGGTAAAGATCTATATAATAGTACATAAATAATTATATTAATATTAATAATTATATATTTAATAAATAAATATTTAAGAATATTAATATTTAAAAATTTAAGAATATTAAAGAAAATTAAATTCCACTTTACTCACGTTTGTAAGACCCACGAGATATATTTTTAAGTGCGAATATGGATTGTTCAAGTTTTGACATCCATTCTGATTTGACTGATTCACTTTGAGCTCTAATAACGTGGGGATTTTCTCCAACAATCACTATTTTAAAACAAAATGATTTATCTGAATCTTCTTCTTTAATATCTTCGACTTTAGCATCACATAAATTAATTTGTTTTTTGTAAATAGTTTTTCCTCGAGTTTTCGTGCAATAAATTAAGACATCATTAAATAGATAATGTGTTTGTACATCGGATGTTGATATATACGTGGGATTTGTTTGAGATTTAACTGATTTAACTTTAAATAAGTCGCCTTCGTAAATATATCTTCTTGCTGGATCAACTATATCTGGACAATCTTCAATCTTGGATTGAATTTCCAATACTTTATTTTGATTTTCTGCATCCTTTATTCTTTTTTTTTAAAAAAAAAAATTATTATTAAATTATCATTAAAACTATTATTAAAATTATTAAATTATTGTTAAAATTATTATTAAAATTATTATTAAAATTATTGTTAAAATTATTATTAAAATTATTATTAAAATTATTATTAAAATTATTATTAAAATTATTATTAAAATAATTATTAAAATTATTATTATTATTATTTAATTTATTTCTAATATAAAAATGAATTCTTACTTTTCATTCACTTCATCAGCAATAATTGTAATTTGCTTTACACATTTTTCAAGGTTTTCATAATCAGGATGTGATCGATTGGTATGTTTTAATACTGCTTCCAATAATAACTTGTATCGAGGAATTCTTTGAATTGGTAAACTTAGATATGAATTAAAAGATAATCCTCCCAGTTCGGATTTTGTGGTATTCGACTAATTGTATATATATATATATATATATAAAATATGTTAATAATATTTGATATTTGAATATAAAAAATATATCAAATATGTTAAATATATATATTAAACAATTGTTAAAATTTTAAATACCTGTAGGAACTTCTTAAATTCTTTACTATTTTTCTTTAGTTTTTCCATTGTTTCTATTGCATGTGGAAAATTTTTTAAATAAACTGTATACATTTTTAGAAATGGAGCCTGAATTCAAATAAATAAAATAAATTATAAAATTTAATAAGAATAATAAACTTTAATAATAAAAATAATAAACTTTAATAATAATAAGAATAATGAACTTTTTTTTTAATAAAAAATAATAAACTTTAATAAGAATTATATCATACATTATAATTAATGATTAATTTAAACTTACATTTTGTAAGAAAATGTCACTAATTAATGCTCCTGGGATCCATTTGGAATATCTAAATAATAGATTATGAAAGGTTAATATATATATGTGTGTGTGTGTGTGTGTGTGTGTGTAAACGATTAATAGAAAAGATAAATTATAAATTTTTCATAATATATTTTTTGGGGAGGAAAGGAAGGAAATTATTACCTTTCTTCCAAAGATTTAAGTAATTGAACATGTAATGATAATATCGTTTCAATGTTTCCAAATAAAGATGATAACTCATCCATTGAAGCAATTGGTTTTGATAAGAGTGAATTTTTCTGATTTGATTTATCTCGTAAAGGTTTTAAAAAATATTCTACACATTTATCTAAACCGTTTATATAAGTTTTTTCGGTAGTAAGAATTTCTTTTACTGCAGCTTCACGTTTACGGATTTTAGATATCATTTCTGAAATTTCAAATGAATATATATATATATATATTTATTTATTTATTAATTTATTTATTTATTTAATTTATTATTAGAAAAATTAAATAAATCATCAACAAAAAAGTTTTTAACTTAATATTTCAAATGATTTCAAATTATTTTACCTTCATTTATACGTTTTCTTGCATTTTCATTAGTTTCACCTTTTTTCACTTTATTTAATTCTTCTTCAGTATATTCGTCATCTAATTCATCATCTCCATAATGTTCATCTTCATCAGTATCATCTTCTTCTGAATCTTCATAATATTTATCAATTAAATCTCGAAAATCAAATGGTGATGATACGATAGGTTCATTTCTTTTCGTGGTGATGAATGTATTTAAGGGTTTTTCTAAAGGTGATTCTTCTGATGCAAATCGATCCTTAGGTATATAAAGTGATCCTGGTGCTCCCATAAATGAAATCATTCGACGGTGGAGCAATGCATTTCTTATTTTGTCGGAAGGTATAGCCGGTTCTCGAGTAATGGGTGTAATAATTGGTTGATGAATAAATGTTGATTGACGTGATAAATCAGAAGTTTCTTCTAACGAATTAGATTTCTTATGCTGCTTATGTATTGATAATTGAGATACTTGGAATAGTTGGGATAATTGAGATAATGATGATTTACTTTTTAGAATATTTGGTGAAATAGTAGTGGAATGATTATCATTTGTTGAGTTTGCGAAAGCTGAGGAATGAAAGGTGTTTCTATTCTTGTAATTCGTCTTATTATTATTACTATAATGATTATTATTATTATTATTATTATTATTTTTCTTTCGTTCAAAAGATGGTGATACCGAATTTCGCATTTTTTTATTATAATCAAGTTCTAATATAGAATTATTATATTGACTTATATATCCTAAATCACTACTTCGAGGCATAATTATATGTTTATATTATTATTATTAATTGATTTTATTTGTGTCTATAATTACAAGTGTTTTTTTTAGAGAGTGTTGTCGAGGTTATCGAGAAGATATCCTAACGAATAAGATTATTATTAAACAAAAAGTTCCAACCTGTCAACATATAAAAATAATAATAAAAATATAGAAATATGTTAGTTAAACTTTCTCACGTCGCATAGGAAATTACACCGACTGTACACGAAGAAGAAGGAGAAGAAGGAGAAGAGGGAGAAGAGGGAGAAGAAGGAAAAGAAGGAAAAGAAGAATAATACAACAACAACAACAATACAATAATAATAATAATAATAAATGATTTTTACCAGGGAGCTTTAGTTTTTTCTTCTAAAATTAGAGATAGTTAAGAAGAAGGTGGAGTGTTTAAATTGAAAAAAAAAAGAAAATTTTAACGGTTATCAGTATTATTAAGAAAACCTAGAAACGAGAAAAAAAGAAACCTTTATTAAAATATCTTTTATAAATATGTAAAATCCATGTGATATGCTAATTTACTTTTAATTTTTTAATTTACTGAATTTCCTTTCTGAGGAAAATTAAAAATGAACCTTACTTAAAATACAATATATAACTGATTTTTTTTATTAAAAAAAAAAAAGAGGGAAAAGTAGTGTGAACGAATAATAAATTACAACATACTTATTGGGTTTGATTCAACATTGGTTTCAGACTTGGTTGACGTCACAAGAGTAGGAAAGAGAAAAAAAAAAAAAAAGAAAAGATGGGGAAAAATTTTCTTTCAAAAAAAATATTGAATACGCATAGAAAAATGCATCAAATCGCTTTTATAAGTTTGATTTATCAAATGTGTAACACATATTTCTTTGATCTCTCGTTTTGGGACTAAACTGAATAATAAATCACTATTATTATTGGCTCCTTAAAAAGCTTTATCCATTTGACGAATTAAAGGTATTATACCCTAAATTAAACTTTTGTCAAATAAAATAAATTTCTTTAAAATTATTTATTATTTTTATTTATTATTTTGTTAATTTTATTATTTTTGTTATTTTTATTATTTTTATTCCTCACTTTTTCCATTTAAAAAAGTTGATATGTTAATAATAATTAAACGGTCATCAAAAATATCATGATTTTATCCAATTCACAGAAAATCAAAGTTTGGAAGAGTTATTATTGTTATTGTTACTATTTTTATAAACAATGGTTTCAAAAAAATCCGTTGCAAAGCTCTCTTTTTTCAAACATATTCTGAAACAAAGCTTTACCTTTGTTCGTTTATAACAATAAAAAAGAAAGAATTCAAAAAAAAAAACAATAACAGACAATACAAATATTTTTCCTTTATATTCTTAATCACGTGTTTCTAAACTAGCGATTTGTGCGTTGTGGTGCGTGCGTGTGAAATTATAATCTGGCAAGACAAATAAATCCATTTAAAAAAAAAACAAACATGTAAAAAAAATCGAGTGAGAAAGAAAAGAAAAAAAAAGAATAGACTAATTTTTTAATAAAGAGTAAATCCTTTTTTTATTATTTTTATTATACAATTACAAAAAAAAAAAAATTCTTTATTATATTACATCCAATTATTTACACAGTTCGTTCAATAAATTATTTAACCAATAAAATTTACATTTAACAAATTTAACGGTTCGAGCAATGATAATTTTCTTAGTTGCCGATCCACCTACATACAAAGTAAAAGTTTGTCAAATTTGAGATTAGGAGTTTTTTATTCAAGTATTAAATATAATTTTTACAAAAGAAAACATTTGCCAATTAGCCAAAATTATAGCAAAATCCCGTTACTATTTTGTTAAATAAAAGTATTAGCTAGAATTTTTTTTTTTTTTTTTAATTATTCATAAATGAATAATAAAAAATTACATTGTAAATATAAAAGTTATATAAAAAGAATAAAAGTTGGTTAAAATAAAATTTACCTACCAATTCGTCGTCCCCTGAAAAAATCTATTCAAGAATAGTATGTCACAACCCCACACTGCTGTCTAAACTTTGAAAAGTCTCAAAATTAAATATAAACGTATTAACAGATTTTTTTTTTTTTTTTTTAAAAAAAAAAAGGTAAATTAAAAAACATGTTATGGAATATTATACAAATTAAGATTAAAAGCTTTCTTTCAATAGAATTAAAATTTTGAAACTTGTAATAAATAACAAACAAAGTATTTATTTTTAGATTACTAAGATAGAATTTTGCCGATCATAGTTGTACCCATTTGAGCGGCGGATATGCATAATACTTATCATACTTGCATAGAATAGGACACACGAGATTTTATTTGCCTTAACTCGGAAAAAATGTATCATTCATCTCCTCCTCAACATCATACATAATAACAAAAAAAAAAAAAACGAACGATGCAGCTTCCAGAAGATTGCATTGAAGAAATTTTAGAATATCTTGAAGATGATATAATAACTTTACATTCATGTTCTTTGGTTAGTCGAACATTATGTAAAATAGCAATTCCAATTTTGTGGCGACAACCTTTTCGTTATAAACGTCACAACCCTTCTTCAGCCTTAATAGAAACATATTGGAATTTTCTTAAAAAAGAGTATGTGACATCCGAAGATAAGATGATCTTGTCAGATTTTGGTATAGAAATATCACAACAACAATTAAAACAAAAAAAGGAGGAAATATTTAATTATCCATCATTCATTAAAAGACTTAATTCTCGAGATTTATATGATTTCTCTCTTATATGGTTTATAAGTTCTAAAACTTTAGTCAAACCACTTACACCAGAACCAATGATAACTATTGCTAGATGTTTATTTAATACCTTTATTGCTAGAGGTGCAAAATTTGAATATTTGTTTTGGGAAACTGAATTAATTGGTAATATTGTAGATATTGAAGATGAATTTGAAGATGAAGTTGAAGATGAATTTGAAGATGAAGATGATGATGATGATGATAATGAAGAAGAAGATGATGATGACAATGATGATGATGATGATGATGATGATGATGATGATGACGATGATAGCGATGATGATGATGATGATGATTATGATGATGATGATGATGATGATGATGATGATGAAGATTATGATGATGATTATTTTAATGAAGAAAATTATGATTATTATGAAAGAGAAGATTATGGTTCATATTTTTATGATCCTGATAAATTTTTATCTGATTCAATAAATATTTCATTAAATAATTTAAATAATTTTGGTAATCTTAAAGTATTTGGATGTTTTGTTAAATACGGACATGAACAAACATTTAATAATGCAGCAATCGCATGTCATGAAATAGATACATTAATTATTGGAATTCGTATGAATGAAAATTATTCAGGTAAAGAAGAAAAATTGGAATCATTAAATAAATTAATTAATGCACAAAATAAATTACGAGAATTTATTTTTGCGGAATATCCAGGATGTACTTGGGATACTTTAACCAGATTAAGAGAAGTTGATATTTCTTTAGATAGTCAAATTGATACATTAACATCTATTGAATTTAATAATGTTGATTTTAGTTTTTGGAAACCTTTAGAATTTGTAATAAGATTAATAAATTTAGAAAATTTGATATTTAAGAACTGTCGAAATTTAGAAATTGTATTAGAACCATTTAAATTTAGTTCATTTAAAAAACTTAAAAAATTAGTTATGATTGGATATGAAGGAAGTAATAATATTCCTTTAGAATTATTAAATAATTTAATTGGTCAAACAAGTGAAACATTAAATCATCTTTCAATAGTTATGAATTCGGAATTAACCAGAGTAGTGACATCCGCCATACAAAAATATCATCCAGAATTAATAGAATTATTTATAAAACTTGATCAATCACATTTCTTTATTCTCCATAAAACCCGTCCATTTTATAATCTGATAAAATTAAAAAAATTAGTTATAAGTAGTTTGGGAAATTTAAAAGTTATGACTGATGAACTTTTACCACAATTAGGAAGAAGTTTACCTCCAAATTTATTACATTTAGAAATTCAAGCTCCATGGAAATTTAGTATAAAATCATTAAAAAAATTTTTGGATAATAATCAAGCACCAATAAAAATATTCGATATTAGACATTGTAAAGATTTACAAGATGAACATATAATTCTTATTTTAAATCGATTAAAAAATACTTTAGAGAAATTAATTATTTCTGATGAATGTATGAATCCACGTAGTAGCATTATTGATAATATTAGTAATAACGGTAATAATAGTAATAATAATAATAGTAATAATGTTAATATTAGAAAAAGATTTGGATGTAAATTTGAATCGTTACCAATAATTGTTAAAAAGGTAAATACTTTATTAATTGAAGAATTTTATGGTAGAGTGGATTCTCTACGTTATAGATGGGAATAATTTTTTAAAATTTATAAATGAATTATTTTCTTGTATCTTTAAACTTGTATACATATATATATATATGTTTTTGTATTTTTTGTATATATTTTCTAAGATTTCTAATATAAATGCATTTATAGTATGTATTAATAAATTATTAATAAATTATTAATAAATTATCGATAAGTTAAAGAATTATTGATAAATTAAAGAATTAAGAATTAAAGAATTATTAAATTGAAGAATTAAAATAATAAAGGTGAATCAACAACAGCATATCCTGTAGCAACTCCTCCTTCATTAGTTTCTTTTCCTTTAGTTCTTAATAAATGTCCACCTCTTTCGTTAACAATAACTTCTTTTCCCTTTCCAATAATTATTCCATAAACTCCTAATTCTGATATAATTTCACCTTCAACCATTTCACCTCGTAATAAAATTATATTCTTCATTGATGGAGGTTTTATTAAATCCATTAGAATATATGAAGAACGTTCTGATGGTGTTAACTTTGATAAGAATTGTGGAATATCTTTGGCGTATAAATTGTTACCTGGAGAAGAGAGAGAGAAGAGGAGAGGAGAGGAGAGAAGAGAGAGAAAGAGAGAGAGAGAAAAAGAGAGAGAGAAAAGAGAGAGAGAGAAAAGAGAGAGAGAAAAGAGAGAGAGAGAGAAAGAGAGAGAAAAAAAAAGAGGGAGAGAGAAGAGAAATAGAGAGATACCAATTAATGTTGGAAAAAAAAAGGACATTAATTTAACAACATAATGTAATTATTACCTCCTCCTTCACGTTGTGGTTTCATAACATAACGTTCCGGATTTTCTAATGCTGCTTTAGCTGCCTTCTCACCTTCAGGAGAAGAATCAAGAGGATATAATCCAGCAAAACAAGAACGTAATTTTTTGACCTCTAGAGGATCTGGAATGTATCTATATTGTAATAAGTAATAATTTAAAATGTGCAATGTAAAATTAGAATAAAAATTCAAGGGTAAATATAATACCTTTCTAATACACCAGGGGCCGCTAATACTTGTTGCACTTTCTTTGCTCCAACAAGTTGATATGCGGCAGTTGGACATTTGATTGATTTAGAACGTTCAATCAATAATCTGGCATTCCAATCCTAATAAAGAATTTATTAATATTTTATTATTAATTATATCAGTTTGGTTAATTTCATCAATATATTCTTTCAATTCGTTACCTCGTCAGAAAGATGATCGTGAGGACTGTACCCTGAACGAAAATAGGTGACAGAGATTTCTTTCCCATCACTCAAAAATAAAATAATAATAAAATAATAATAAAAAAATCATTAAAAATCATTATTAAAAAGATACAAAAAATTATCAGGCATTCTAGTAAAAATTAATTAACATACATTATCAAAGCTTTGGTTATTGGATCCAATTTACCTTCTTGGCTAATTTCTAAAAGATCTTTGCGTATAAGATGAACTTTATGACTTGATAAATTCCATAAAATTAAAATTAAAAATTGAAATTAAAATTAAAAAATTGAAATTGAAATTAAAAAATTAAAATTTGAATAATAATAATATTTTTTTTAAAAAAAAATATTTACTTTTTAAGTAAAGTATATTCGATCCACCGTTGATCAAAAATATTACGTTCTGTCGGTTGAACTACCATTAATACTACAGCCCTATATTATCAAAATTTTAGAATTTATAAATATTTAGAAATTATAAATACTTGGAAATTATAAATTATAAATTATAATTATTAACCTCTCAGATCCATAAAGTTCATGTGCTTTAGCAATCCCTCTTGGTATACTATTCATCGAATCATTTTCTGGAAGTGCTTCAATATTGAAAATTGGTGATGATGATTCAAAGTAATTGGTTGATTCAAGAAGATATCTAAAATAAATAAATATTACTTCTATATTTACATTTAAATTTTATATATTTTTATTTCCATTTTTTTTCTATTTCTATTATAGTTATTTATATATATATATATATTTATATTAATTAAAATTTTTACTTGTGTAATTCTCCTGTTAAAGATGCTAAACTTGAAAAAGATGAAGCAATTGTATTAAATTCTACTTGTTGAATATGTGCTTCGTCTTGATTATTAGATGAAACATGCAAAATATAATCTGATCTATGTAATCCTAAAGAAATTGGCTAATAATAAATAAATTATATTATAATTATCATTATCATTTATTATCATTTATTGTTTAATATTATTTATTGTTTAATATTATTTATTATTTATTAATTAATATTAAATTATTATTATTGAAATTATTGTTAAATATAAAAAATAAATATATATATAATACCTGTACAACTCCCTCTTGTCTTACGGTCAAATATAAATTATATAGTTTTTCAATGAAATCATCAACTTTTGTAACTCTTCAATAAATAAAATAAAATAAAATAAAAGAGAATGATAAATTCAACTTTTCTCTTTTTTATATCAGATAAAAACTTGTAAATATGTAATAAATAAATAAATAAATAAATGAATGAATGAATAAATGAATAAATATTACTCTTCAATAACATCCTTTATAAATTCATGATTTTGAGATAATTCAAAAAATAATCGATTAAATATTGGTTGCAATTCTAAAGCTAATTCAAATTGTTTTCTTGGAAATGGTGAAGGAAATAAAGATATTGGAGCATGAATAACTGAATTATTATTATTAATTTTATCTATATTATTATTATTTGGTGGTGGTCGGATAACGAGACCATGAGCTAATGACCAATCAATAGCTGATTCTAAAAGTATTTGAAGATTTTTTTGAGAAGTTTGTGGTGGATATTTCGAAAAATTTGTCATGATTATTTAAAAAAAAAGAAAAATTCGCAGAATCAAAAACTATTTCTTCATTCGTATTATATTTTAAATTGTAAATGATCTTCAGATCTAAAGCTTAACTACATCAAGGTACCTGAAAATTTTGTGGATCATTTACTTATAACATTGAATATGATTGGTCAGATTTGAACATTTTTTTATATGAATGAAAATTTTTTAAAAATACATTATTTAAAATTATATCTTCTCAATAAAAAATATATAAAACTTTAAAAAATATGTTACTTGATAGTACTTATTAATTTAAGATCCATATAAAGAAGTCTAAAAAAAATCAAATTATTGGATGTTTTTAAACTTTTCACACTATACACTTATTTTTAAGTAACATGATATTACTTAAAGGACCTTTATTCTAGACCCTCAGTTTAGGATTTTATCCTAAACTAAAGATACCTGCTATAATTATTTTCAGGAGTTGCAACTTCATACCTATTTGCAACTATTTTCTACATTGCCACAATTGTAGCACAATATCACAATTATGTCATATATAATATTTTTTTTTTTTTTTTAATTCCAACAGAGTCATGTTTTATTAAACAATTTATTTTGCAGTTGATAAAAATTAAACAAATTT